CCCTCCCCCCCCCCCCCCCCCCCCCCCCCCACTATATATATGATCTGTTTTCATCGTTTTGTTTGGTCGAATTACCAGCACCCCAGGTTAGTAGTGTTAAATTGTTTTTCTTACATGTTCTGCCTTTTCTTTTTATGTCACTCCAGGTCATGCAGAAGCTGTACTTTCAGTTGCCTTTAGTCTGGATGGGCGACAGTTGGCCAGTGGCTCTGGGGACACCACTGTTCGTCTATGGGATCTGAACACCCAGACACCGATGTTTACATGTACAGGTTGATAATCTAAGCCATCTCTCTTTTTCATCCTGCTTGCGCTTAGTAGTTGAAGTTGCTGCTTAAGAATACAAAAAAAGACAGTGCCGTGACAAATTCAAATTTGTTTCTTTCTGGAAACACTTTCATATTTATTTATTTTTCTGAGCGGTCAGAGTAAGTTATTTGTTGTTCATGTTGATGATACATGATATCTCAGATTGATTATCTTAATAAAATGAACCAACCTTTATACTTATTGCATTGATCATATATGAACTTCTTGATGCAGGACATAAGAATTAGATGCTTTGTATTGCATGGTCACCAGATGGTAAGCATCTTGTGAGTGAGAGCAAGGCTGGAGAGCTTCAGTGTTGGGATCCTCAGGCAGGAAAGCCATCAGGGAATCTGCTTGTGCTAAAGTCTCTATTTATTAGAATGGCTGGTGGTTCGTATCCCACTTGAGTTGCTTGTCAATGTCAATTTTGACATACTCTTGAAACATTTAGGTGCAAGTCATTTCACCTTACAGTTTCAAATACTATGCTCTTGTATTGTACTTCTCTTGGGTGGGTCTTATAGTTTAGTTACAATATTTACCCGAAGGGTCATGCTCCTTTTATTCGTTTCTGTTTCCAGTTGCTTCATCAGTTTGGTAATTTACCTTTTTCTGATGGATGTATCTAACTTATTAGATACATGGCTAAAATAATGAAATCTTGAGTATATATTATGATGCTTTTGTCCCCTGACTTGCCAAGAGTTTTTCCTATTGTGGTGTTAGAGATTACTTCATTTGAAATCTTGGAAAAATGTTACTACGAAACAACTGCTGGGCTTTTCTTTTTCTTGTATTTTTTTACTATTAAAAGTAATTGTTTCGACTTTAAGTTTGACTTCTTGACAAAGTTAATTGTGGGCCTACAACATCTAATCAGCTTGATATTTCCCTATTAAATTTGTAACGATTTTGCAATTATGCTGCAATTTCTGGTGTTCAATTGATGTGCTAACAAAAATTTGTCTAGTCACTAATATTTGCAATTCACCTTGTCTCAGGTCCACAAAAAATGGATCACTGGCATCTCTTGGGAACCAGTTCACTTGAATGCTACATGTCGTCGCTTTGTTAGTGCTAGCAAAGATGGTGATGCACGCATATGGGACATAACATTAAGGAAATCAATTATTTGTCTCAGTGGCCACACACTTGCAATAACTTGTGTGAAATGGGGTGGGGATGGAGTGATATATACTGGGTTCGTGTGCTTTTCTGTTCCACAATTGTGTGAAATATTCATCGGACAACCTCCATTCCTATTCTTATCTAAGAGCTTGAAATTTACAAAGGGAAGGTCTTCGGCTGATCCACCCAAGAATCCTGGTTTACATTATAGCTGATCAGTACCTGAGAGAACAGAGGACTGGAATAAATTGACACTTAAACTACTGGATGTAGATGACTTTGTCCCAACTATTGTCCAGAACCTACTGGAAGCTGATCATATAAACAAGTGAGATAAATCCAATCACTAGAGAATTGTGTTTAATTTACTTTTAAAAATTAGAAGATTCCACAGTCCATAACAAAATTGACTGAATTTCTTTCCTTCCATAAACAAGAAGTGGATGGTGGATGGGGATCCTTTCTCGAAGATTAGCTGGCACTATCGGCCTTTACACTTTTCTTACCATCACAGATTACTCTTTTGACTGATATCTGGTCTCAGAAAATCAAATGCTGTCAAACTGCGGTTCATATCCATTGCTCTTGCATTAGCTATATATTTCACCTGTCTTCATCTCAATGGTCCAGCTAGATATCTGGTCTCAGAAAATCAAATGCTGTGAAACTGGGGTTCATATCCATTGCTCTTGCATTAGCTCTATATTTCACCTGTCTTCATCTCAATGGTGCAGCTCCCAGGATTGTACCATTAAAGTGTGGGAAACTTCACAAGGGAAGTTGATTCGTGAATTAAAGGTAATTGTATGCACATATTTTGTTTATTTGACAGTGATTTTAGCACTGTTTTTTCTTACCACATTTATATTGTAGAGTTTTGCTTGTTTTCTGTGGAAAATAATATTCCTTGCTATATTTACCAAGTAGATTTTAGGTTTCCAATTGACAATCTCAAACTTCAATTGTTGGTTTGTAACTGTTTTTCCTCTCTTAATGACCTCCCCCTTGGGCATATGGTTCTTGTTTTAGGGTCACGGGCATTGGGTTAACTCTCTTGCATTGAGCACTGAATATGTTCTTCGCACAGGAGCTTTTGATCATAGAGGAAAAACATATTCTTTTCCAGAGGAAATGAAGAAGGTAAAGTTACTATTTGCTTCAGTTGTTGCATTGTGATGAAGATGGCTCTAGACATTTATCATCTATGAATTAGCATAATATTCGAGGGATATGAGCATGGCTTTTGTAATGTAATTTCAGATTTTTAAATCGTCATCAGTTAACAAGTGTTCTCCCTTGTGGTAGCTGTTGGTTGTAAATATTCAAGTACTATGTATGCAGTAGTTGACTGGTCAATGATCTTTGTGTAGTTCTGGAATATCCAAGTACTATGTATGCAGTAGTTGAATGGTCAATGATCTTTGCGTAGTTCTGGAATATTCAAGTACTATGTATGCAGTAGTTGAATGGTCAATGGATCTTTGCGTAGTTCTGGAACTCTGTTGATTTGTACCTTGAAGCTGGGCTCTTACTCATTTACTCATAGAGGGATACGACCATCTGAATATGAATGGGAGAAAAAAGGCTGAGGTTTCTTTTTTGGGAGACTCTTTTGGGCCTGGTCTTCAATCCCAACATATACCTGTAACCTTTTTCTTTTTTTATCTGATATCATATACTCAAATTTAAAAATATTCTATTGCTGAAGCATATATAGAATATTTTACCATCTGTCTGTCAAGGAAAACATTTGAGTTTATGGGAGAGGGGATTTATCCTGCTGTTTGCTTAATTTATCTGCTCCTAGTTCTAGGCAATTTAACATGAGAAATGCAAGACACTTGTTTTATTTTTCCCCTTTGTTTTGCTCAATGGAATGTTATAATTGAGCTAGAGCTGCAAATTTAGGATGTTCCATGATTTCCAGAAAACTGCAGCAAAATGAAAAAAAAAAAGCATCAATTTCGAGCATTTAAAGTTTTCTGTGTTACATTGTGCTTTTTTACTAAAGAGTGATTAGGATTCTGTCTATATGGAACTGATTATTCCGACCTATTTATAAATGTTATAGGTTGCTCTGGTAAGGTACAATAAAATGAAGGGCGGTGCTCCTGAAAGACTAGTTTCAGGTTCTGATGATTTCACCATGTTCCTCTGGGAACCAGCTGTCAGCAAACACCCTAAAGCTCGTATGACAGGCCATGAACAGGTACAAGAGATATGAATGATTTTCTGTTTTGCTTGCCATCCTTGTTCTTGATCCTTGTTTTTTGGGAGTGCAATGTTAAGAGCTAATTTTTAACATTTCTGTGAATCTTGCAAATTCTGCCGGTCAAGTGTTATTTTTTGAGCTGAAATATTGAACTACTCTTTGGTTGATGCAGCTTGTAAATCATGTATACTTCTCACCTGATGGGCATTGGGTGGCTAGTGCATCATTTGACAGTCTGTGAAGCTTTGGAATGGCATCACTGGAAAATGTGTTGCTGCTTTTCGAGGCCATGATGGACCTGTTTATCAGATCAGGTTTGATTTGTTTCAATCACTTTGGACCACCCATACTCTTATTTTTTACAGTGGTTCTCATTATAATTGCATGATTCCCCGCCAGCTGGTCTGCAGACAGCAAGCTTCTTTTAAGTGGGAGCAAGGACTCTACACTGAAGGTATTTCTACTAACTGTAAACCTTTTCTTTTGGTGATTGGGGTTTCGAAAGCACTGCTGGGTTATTTAGTGGGCTCATATGTGATGCATGCCTAGGTTCTCATTTCTAACGACAATATTGTACAGAGATCTCCATTTTTAAAGTTTCTTCTTTCGGTTCCTCTCATAGTGAATCGCCTTTGGTGAGTGTGGTTATTCTTTAATCATTAACTGATCTTCAGTAAATTAGGGAAATGCAGTTCTCATGAACAATGCGCGTGATTTGTGCCAAAGTGTGTTATTCTGCAAGTGTGCTTTCTTTGGTTGCCTACCCTTCTCTCTATTCCTCTGACTTGATAATTTACTTTATTTTTCAGATTTGGGATGTACGAACACAGAAATTGAAGCAAGATCTTCCTGGCCATGCAGATGAGTTATATTCTACTCTAGAAATTGGACCCTTTGATGCATATCTATTTTGACATGATGACACTGATATTTCAGTCCTGATTCTTTGTGGTAAGGTATTTGCTGTTGATTGGAGTCCAGATGGTGAGAAAGTAGCCTCTGGTGGTAAAGATAGAGTATTGAAATTATGGATGGGCTCGATTAACTGACGGGGAGAAAGTTGCAGGGAGACATGGTTGAAACTTTAAATGATGTAATGGTTTGGCAGTCAACAATCTATTTGGTAATTACCCGAATATATGCAGCAAGTGGTATGTACAATCATACGAGAACAAGCAATTGAAGAATCAGCTATGAGAAGATTGGTCTTTCACCTTGTTACTGTAATTTTTCAGACATTCGTCACAAGTATCACAGAGGTAAAAACTTGGATTTTCGCATGTCTATCACCATTTTCTGGTCGCACAAACTCACCTGGATGTGATGAATCTGAGTAGAGGTAAAAACTTGGGTAAAGCTATTATTTTGTGAAAAAATTTGCTAGTTTTTCTCTTCTTTTCTTTCTCTTCTTATCGTCATCAAGGCATAGTTTTTCTCTTCTTTTCTTTCTCTTCTTCTCTGTCTCTTTCTGTTGTTTTTGTTTGTATCATCATCAAGGCCAAGATATCGACTACAGTTGATGATCCACCTTGACATGCTGTGAATGTCAAAGACTCAAAAAAAAATGCTATTCATTTTCCTGACAGCAACAACACTATCTCGAATCTATATCATTGAAATATAGTGGAAACTTGTGTTAGTATACTACGCTTATATATATGTTGTTGCTTGCCTTGCTCTTTCCCTAGTCTTTCTTCCATGTGCAGAACATCTGTTATCCACTGAAGTAAAAATACGGAAGATATTTCTACTCTAGCAGGTTTATTAAGCTAGGCGTTCATTGTCTGTGCTGCTAAATGTGGACGAATGGCAGGCCAAGTGGCCAACAAATAAGGGGGGCGTTATAATGTTTGAAGATTCAAGAGTTGGTGTTAGCTAGTGCAAAAAAAACATAACGTGGACCTTTCGTGAGCCTTTAGAAATATAGTTATATTCACATTTTAAAAAAATTTATTATTTTTATTAAAATTAATTTTTTTATATGTTTTGGATTGTTTTGATGTACCGGTCTTAAAAATAATTTTTAAAAATAAAAAAATATTATTTTAATATATTTTAACACAAAAAATATTTTGATAAATAATCATAATCACCCTCAAACAGCCCGTGAGGATAAGCTCACTGAAATTCTAATTGAATTTCTGAATTTTGTAGGTAAAACATGAAGAACTTGTATCTTTTATTGAATCAAAGTGATATCTGCATAAGCCTACAACTTAGGCCGAAAAGAGCTTGGATGGCATTCGGATTGTTCAGCTTCTGCTTTGGCTTCAGTTCAAGCCTTTTGTAAATCAATGGCAAATAAACTCGGAACTTACCATTTTAATATAAAAGCTAAAAAATGCAGGGAAAGCACTAAAATTCTCCTCACAGAACATTGTAATTCTCCTGGAAAAACACTATGAATTGTTATAAGCACAGTGAATTATTATAGTGCCTTTCCATTTTATTTGAATATCGAAGAGATGTTGATTTCTTTTTGTGTCGAGAGACGTAAAAGATTAGAAGCGGAGAAACGCAGCCAATAATGCTCAGCCAAATTCCAACTCGTGATTAACGAGTACAAGAGAGAATAATGACAACACGACGTTTCCAGTAGAAAAAAATTCAAGAGTAAAAAATAAATCAAAGCAGTTACAACTTCTTCGAGACGATTTAAAAATGAATAAATAAATTTGACGCCTTTATACATATGAACAGAAGAATTGGACCTGTGATTTTGGTCAGTGCGAAATCTAAAATGGGCGAGAGCGACCATGTTTCGGTGGTGTTTCGACACCAAGTGGAGAAGGGATGTCTTCGGACTGTCGGCCAGGTTTAACCCATCTACCATATTTGTTCAGCACGAGTCCCTTGTATGGAAAGTCGTACCAAAACTCTGGTATTCTTAGATCCTCTATCAGCATGTCACTACCCTTGTTCACCAATGCCAGGTCTCTCCTAGCATTCCATCTATGCTTTGATGTGCTGCTCAAAAACCCATCTATCAGGTGAAGATATAGCTCCAGATTATGACACCCTGACAAGTCAGATTCATGCTTCAAGTATGGTGATGTAAACGCATCAAGCTTCAACTGAGTCCCTACATGCCTATAAACCCAGTTCAACTTTCCAGTTAATCCATGAAACTTGTTAAGCATCCTGTTCAACAGGCCAGGCAGTTTCGGGACTATATCTTGCTTAACAACAACGCGTAGGCTCCTGACTCCTAGCCGTAAAAGATTAGAAGCGGAGAAACGCAGCCAATAATGCTCAGCCAAATTCCAACTCGTGATTAACGAGTACAAGAGAGAATAATGACAACACGACGTTTCCAGTAGAAAAAAATTCAAGTGTAAAAAATAAATCAAAGCAGTTACAACTTCTTCGAGACGAGTTAAAAATAAATAAATAAATTTGACGCCTTTATACATATGAACAGAAGAATTGGACCTGTGATTTTGGACAGTGCGAAATCTAAAATGGGCGAGGGCGACCATGTTTCGGTGGTGTTTCGACACCAAGTGGAGAAGGGATGTCTTCGGACTGTCGGCCAGGTTTAACCCATCTACCATATTTGTTCAGCACGAGTCCCTTGTATGGAAAGTCGTACCAAAACTCTGGTATTCTTAGATCCTCTATCAGCATGTCACTACCCTTGTTCACCAATGCCAGGTCTCTCCTAGCATTCCATCTATGCTTTGATGTTCTGCTCAAAAACCCATCTATCAGGTGAAGATATAGCTCCAGATTATGACACCCTGACAAGTCAGATTCATGCTTCAAGTATGGTGATGTAAACGCATCAAGCTTCAACTGAGTCCCTACATGCCTATAAACCCAGTTCAACTTTCCAGTTAATCCATGAAACTTGTTAAGCATCCTGTTCAACAGGCCAGGCAGTTTCGGGACTATATCTTGCTTAACAACAACGCGTAGGCTCCTGACTCCTAGCTCGTTGAGCTTCTCCTTGAAGGCGATGTTTCCGACCCTTGGTGCGCCAAAAGAAATGACGCTAACAAACAGATCCGGAATGACAGTCTTTGCCTCATAAGCATTTAGGAGTGCTAATGCTCCTCCTAAGCTATGGCCTGTAACCGTCAAGCTGACCTCTTCACCCTTTCCTCTATAAAAATTCACCAGTCTTACCACTTCTTGCATAACTTGCTCAGAGGCACTTAACTTGTTATACCTGGTGGACTCATCCTTGGATTTGTAAATGCCGAGGAACCCTTCTTGAACCTTCACATTTGTGTTGTCAATAAGCTCTAGACCTGTCCTGAGGTCTGAAAACCACTCTGATGGTGAGATGGTGCCCCGCCATGCGACCATTATGTCTCTACGGCCGATTCTATGCGACTCTTCTTTCCTGCTTACAGCAACATAACCCATCCAATTGGAATCTTTGCTCCACATAGCGTGTGACCTCTTTAACCATTGAGGCACATCGACATGGGACAAGGCATAAATGTACCTTTTCACCTTGTAACCATGCTTGGTGAGGCCTGACGTTTCGAAAATCTTATGTCGGTTGTACCTACAACTCCCACAATACTCCGATAAAGGATCAAAGTCGAAGGCATCATAAGTGGCTTCAGCAAATTCTCCATATTTGAGAATTTCTCGTCGAAGATTCGGGTGGAGAGGGTCAAGAAGGTTGTCCCAATTACTTGAGCCATGGATTTCTTGCCACATTGCTGATATATTCTGCTTGGGAGACATTGTAGGTGTCATGTGATCTCCTAGGTCTACAAAATCCAATGCTGTATACGGCACATGGAAGAGATGAGAAAGTGTTTTGTTGGGATGGCAGGCCTTTTTCTTTGATTTGTTATCTTTAAGGGGCTTTACATCTGACTCTTGATGGATTCGGTTAGTGGATTTGTTATCTTTATGGGATGGCAGACCAGAGGGACGTTTCTTGATGTGGCCATTGACTGCCTTCTTGATAGCCTGCCATGTGATATTAAGCTTCAACTTCCACGCTCTTCTGGTTTTCTTTGACCTTGTTTTCTTTGTTATGACTTGTGTTAATGGTGACATCTCCATGGTGGTTCACTGGTTGTAGAATTCCTGAAAAGCTTGTGATTTGAATCAAAGAAAGCCAAATTCTTAGGAAGGAAAGCGTAAAGTGTTTGTCAGGGTGTTGATGATATCTAGAGAGGGGCTTATATATACACACAGCATTGATGAACATAGGCAAGAAATAGCACATCATTGTTACGGCTCACCTGCTTCGAAGAAGCTCATCATACGAAGTCACGGGACCATCAATAAAGTTGACTTGTTCCTTTTTCATTTTTTCTGACGAGTAAATTATATAACCTCTAGAAGAAATATGAAATTACAATCCTCCTTGAAGATTTCTAAATTATGATTTTTAATTTTTTTTTATCATTTTGATTGCTGAAAAGTATTTTAAAAAAAATTTTTTAAAAAAAAATAAATTTTGAAAAAATAAATTAGTTTTTGATATTTAGTAGTATAGTGAAAAATAAGTTAAATTTTTTTTCTTTAATTATGTCATATAAAATGAGCTGAAAAATAATTTATTAATATTTTATTTTTTTAAGTTTATTAAAATAATGAGAAGCAAATCTCACAAATTAAAAAGTTGAATGAGAATGAAATTGAAAAAAATTTAAGTTTATAAATTATCTCAGATAAAATAAATAATAATAAAAATAATAAAGATCAAATCTATAAAATAAAAAAAATTAAAGATAAAAAAATTAAAATAATAATATTAACATTTCATAAATTATTTAAAATAAAATAAGTAACTATCAAAAAATAAGGATCAAATTTAATAGATAAAATATTTCAATAAGAAAAAAAAATAACAATAATAAAAATGAGAATTAAAGTTAATATAAGAATTAATTTTTAAGAGATGAAATTGAATAATAAATATTCAAAACAAAATATATATAACAATCAAAAGTTCAAGAACTAAATTTGATATAATCAGGAAATAATATAATAATTCTAAATTTTTCAAAACTTTCAGAAAATATTTTCTTCCCAAAGTTTTTTTTAATAACTAACTTTTTTAATATCAAATAAATATAAAAAAAATATAAAAAATAATTTTTCAAATTTTTTTTATAAAAAAAACAAACATGCCTTTTGATGATATACTTCATGAGTCAAGTTTCTCAATACTATCTCGATTTTGTTGACTAAGTTAATGTAAGAAAAATTACAAAGACCTGGTCTGAAGAAAAAATATTTATAATTTATATTTTCGCTATGGTTTTAGTCATAGCTTGGATGTCTCTATCTTCCACCTGGTCCAACAATTTGGTATAGTTGATTTTTTCACGTATAGGGATTTGAAAATCAAAGCTAGAGCATGCATGCTCTGACCACTCCCCCGGTTGCCTGCTTTTTTTTTTAATTTATATAGGTTTTCGGATCAATTTACACGTACTATGATTAATTTCTATAATACACTAAACATTCTGTAAATTCAATAAACAGGTAAAGCACCGTAGAAATAACAGGTATGCATAGCAAGATTCAAACTCATATACATAGAAAAAAAACAAGTTTTTTTTATTGCTAGGCTAGAACTTGACTCGCTATGATTTTTGGTTCCTGAAGTCGTAGAAGAATGTGGATTTTAATGTAGATTTCTCACATTCAACTCCTGGTGCAAGTTACCCCGACTATAGATTCCGACTTCCTCTGAGCCTGGGGAACCTGAAGTTTTGACGAGTTCCAAAGTCAAGCAATTCGTGAAGCCTTGAGCTTTATGCAGCAAGATTTGAGTTCAAAAACCACTCCATTAAAATAAACAAGGCAGATCATCAGTTGATATGTACTCTGTCTACTGACTATTTCCTGATGAGAAATGGATTTGAAACGCAAATTCAGTTCGTGATGCATGGTTTCTTCAGAATGCATTTATTACGATACCATTCACTGTGCTACTGACCACACATTTCAAAAGATAAGAACTGAACAGTTGTTTTGTTTGGTCTTCTTTTAATGATGATCTGGTTCAGAAGTATTAAAAGATTTACCAATGTTTGTTCTAAGTGTGCATTTAATTCTAACTTCTGTCTATTCATTTCTTTCAAATGACTTTCATATGTCAATTCTAATTTAGTTGTTTCCCCTCACTGAGTATGAGTAAGCAGCGAATTTCCACCTTAGGAGAGGATCAGAGGCAACACCATCGCTGATGTCTTAGATCAGTGTTTGAACTTGTCTTATATTCCAGATTTGAGAAGATGAGAACATTCAAATTTTGGTAACTAACTATCATACACACACGCAGCAAACTATCAAATAAAATTAGGATATTAGATAAATCTAAAAGTAATTAAAAATTTATTAAATGAAAATCTTATATTTTTTAGCTTTGAACATTTTTAAAAAAAAGCTAGGTTATTATAAATTTCAAGTTATCCAATATTTCGGCTTCTAATAATAAGTCACAAGAACCACTCATAAGAAATCTCCTAAATTTTTACTTGGAAGAAAGTGATTGTTATATCCGGAATATTTGCTCTAATTTTGTGTTCATATAGTTTTTCTATATAATAGACAATTATTATTTTTTCACTTATTAAATAATAGGCTTAACTTTATATTTATTAAGAATTTTAAAAACTTTATAAATAGAAAAATATGTATTTTCTCCTTAAATAATATTCATATATTGTTTTAGAATAGTTTTATAAATTTAATTAATCAAGTCCTTATTTGATTCTTTTAAGTTTAGAAATACAAGTCATATATTACTTATATTTTAGTTCTTAATTTCTAAAATATATTTTAATCAAGTCATATTTAATTAAATCATTTTAGTTTAATTTCTTATTAATAATTCTTAATATGTGTGACCTTTTAGATTCCTAATATATTATCTTAAATATAAACTATAATTCTAATTGAATAGAATTAAATAATTTAATTTATTATCAATTCAACAGTTGATTAATTTATATTTGAAGATCAGATATATTATTTAACAATATATTTTAATCCCTTAAATATTAAAAACGTTATTAGTGGTTTGACTTAATTTTTCGATGATCGATTTTTCAGTTTAATTAATATTTTTTTATCAATAATGTTATGATTTAACATTAAATCAAGAAGGATGTCTATCATGTTAAATCATGGTTATTCTCTATATAATAGTTATTGATCGTTTGAATAAAACTTGAAACTTTTTTCAAATCTTATTTCATATTGGCCAAGAATTTTCAAGTCAATACTATCTAAAAACATATGAAATATTTTTTCTAATTTAACTAAAATGATGAATCCTCTCTTTATTACGCAAATACTTTCATATAATTCATGTTACACTCAATATCTACTTTTTCATTACTTTGATTAAGATAGCATGTAATAAGATTATAGTATAACATTCTCTATATAAAATAATTTAGTGATCTCAAGTCTAAGGATCATCTACACAACCATCATATGAGCCTTCTCATAAACATATATAATCTTTCCATATAAAATTCTCATGCGGGTCAATTAATTGTATATATCTTATGATAAATATCTATATAATAGTTTTAGGTGTTCTTTACACACCCTTAGCTTAGAAAAATAACTGCTTCTTTTTATGAAGAAAATAATATACACTGCCACAAAATCGATAAATATAAACAGAAATACCTTGAAAATTTACCGATGGAAATATTCCTTTGGTATATACTGAATGAATTACAATGGAAAAATAAATAAAACAAAGCAAAAAAAATAATGACATGTCATTTTTAGAAATGAAATTTCTGACAAAATAAATTCCGTCAGTAAATTCCATTGGTAAAATTGTTGGTAAACTATGAACATTGTTCATCATACCAATTACAAAATGGAATTACCGATCAAAAATTATATCAAGATTTTCTAGAGAGCTTCAGAATTGTTTATTTTTCAATTGCACTGTTAATTGTTGTTCTTTATAAATAAAATCACTGACAGATTGAAAAGTTGTTGGTGTTATTTGGTAGTTTTATAAAAATATTTAGTTAATTTAAAATTTTTATTTAAATATTACAGATAAAATCACTAACGGATTGAAAAATCATCGGTTATCATTGACAGTTTCTAAAAAAAATTTATGAAATTAAAAATTGAAATTTAATATTACAAACGAAATTACTAATGAAATAATTAAAAAATATTAATATTTAATTATCTGTCAGAAAAACCATCGCTAACGTGTCCCAATAAAAAGTTTGAATTACAAGAGACGAACTCATTTCTTCTTCTTCTTCTTTTTTCCTATAAGTAAAAAACATCAATATCTATTTCTTTCTATTCTCTTCTCTCCTCATCTCCTTCTCTTTTCCTTCATGCTCAGGAATGTTTTTTTTTTTTATCCTCTTTTTTTTTTTAATTAATATGCTTTACAAAATTTTTACTCCCTCCTTAGTTTCACTTGTTACTGCATTAATGTAAGATTTGTTTTCTTCTTTTTCATGATTTTTTTCACTATATTTATTGTTTTTTTGTTTTTTTCTTAATAATTATATGAATGTTGTTGTGATATTTTTTTTTCATATGAGATCTATTTTTAATTAATTTATTTATATAATTTTTAATTTTTTAGCAACCACAATTTTATTTTTTTATATAAATTTTTTTAGTTGAATTTATTTTTTCATTTTGTTTATTTGTTGCAAATTTATTTGAGTTGATTTTTTTAAGTATTTTAAGTATATATTATAAAGTGTTGATTTATTTCAATTTAATTATTTTATAATTTTTAAAAAATATATTTTTAAATAATTACTGATAAAATTAATGATAATATTTTTTTAAAAAATATACATCCAAAATGAATAACGTAAACTCTGAATCAAAGCAGTGCCATAAATCATCACCTTTCTAGTTTGACAGTTAGGAATAGTAGAACATAAAATCAAGCTATATTTCCTCGTCTAATTTTTTATCATGACTTGCTGTTGCAATGATAAGGCTAGTTAGATTGCATTTCTGGCTAATGATATTGTTTTGAATTCTTGAAAAACCTATAAATCATAATTCTTGAGGAACAAGCCAGCCAAGACCGCATAGCGCAGTGGATTAGCGCGTTTGACTTCGGATCAAAAGGTCGTGGGTTCGACTCCCACTGTGGTCGTATAGTTTTTTTTATTTATAGTGAAATGCATGTACACATTAATTAGCA